TTTGATTATAGCCTACTACAGCCTGACCCCACCAAAAAAAGGGCTGAGTAACAGGGTATAGTTCATGAAATAGCTAGATGTAGTTTACACCAAGCCAACAAGTCACCCAGAAACTGCACTGATCTGCAATATATATATATATATATATATATATATATATATATATATATATATATATATATATATATATATATATATATATATATATATATATATATATATATATATATATATATATATATATATATATATATATATATATATATATATATATATATATATATATATATATATATATATATATATATATATATATATATATATATATATATATATATATATATATATATATATATATATATATACATACATACACACACACACACACACACACAAACATATATATATATATATGCACTGTATATATGTATGCACCTTTAGGCTGCATTTACTTCAATGTGAATTTTGGTGCCCATAGACATAAATGGAAATGCAGTAAAATGCACTTGCAAAAACCAGATGCATGCCATAATGTGCATTCAAAATAAAGAAAACTGCATACCTTGTCAGTCTCAAATGAACAGATGAAGAATCTAGTCCATGTTAAATCAATGGATAAATCGGTTTTATTCTGCAAAAAAAGATTTATCCAGTCTGCAGAGAAGTCATTATTCGTGACTGGTTGGATTCCTAAACTGAGCAATTCTGCACAGATCAGACAGATCTACATGCAGCTATTCAGGGCAATCAAAAAGAGCTTAACCGGTGGTTCTCTTGACTTGATCATTCCTAATTTAAAACAACGAGAAAGAAATAAGACAGGCAAAAATGTTTGTGTTGTGTTGACAGTGTGCAACTCAAACACTTCTAATTAAGTGAAAGAACTATTTTCTGGATGTTGGAATCAGTTCTCTACTTGTGAGAACCACATCCGTCTAAATGCTTTAATCCTCCAGTTCACCAGGCAGGGCTTGTGAGCTAAATGAGGGGGGCCAGAATCACTCAATTAAAGCTCTCCTGGAACTCAAGCATGCTGACATTGTAATAACTTTGTACGGCTGTTCAGAACAGTCCATGAAGTATAACATCATTCTGCCTGTAGACTGTGTTCCTTGCTCACTGCAGGAAATTAATATCTTACCCTTTTATCTCAATGAGCCATAATCAGGAACTCTCAGCAGCCGTGGTTGGTGTTGGTGGATTCTGGCACAATCACCGTCCTCTAAACAGCAAGCTGAGATAAAGCTGATCTTAATTCTTGAAGAGTGAGATGCTCTCACAAGGCTGAATTGTTTCTCAGGGAAACCTTTTAAAATATTAGGGGTCCTGGAGGCAAAACCTTACATACCTTCCTTGGCTTAATCTCTTCTTTGCTTTGAAGTTCAAGCACATTCTTGGTTCCCATAAGCCAATCTGATATCTTATAACCAAAACCCGCTGAACTGTACAACCTAGTATTTAGGAAAAGTAGCACACTACTGCTGCATTTTTAATGCCTAATGAAAAGTACCCTGCATTGTTTTATGGAGCATTTTAAAACTACATAGAGGTGGGGGGGGGGGGTATTTATAAAAAAATGGAGCAAACAGAATCTGGAGCAGCTATGCATGGCAACAAATCAGCTTCTTGTTCAGCTATTCATCTTGTCACATTAAGCTTTGATAATGAAAGCTAGAAGCTGATTAGCTGCCATGAACAACTGCTGCAGATTTTTATTAAAAGAAGTCTTGCTAAATTCCCCTCTATGTGTGTCTTTGTATATATAGTCAGCACATTTGAACTCTAATAGGACACTACAGGATGGCAATCGAACACATTGAGAGGAATTTATCTAAACTGGAGCATACACTATATGCAGCATTTGACTATGGTAGCCAATCAGCTTCTCTCTTTCATTTACAAAGCTTAACAGTGCAAACAGAAGTTGGAAGCTGATTGGTTACTATGGGCAGCTGCTCCAGATTCTGTCTGCTCCAGTTTTGATAAATTCCCCTCATTGTGAACACAGCCAAAACTCATGTAAGTGCACCTGTGATCAGTTTGGCAAATGGACCATGGCAACTGTAACTAAATTCCATCAGTCAGTGTATGTTCTTTAGTTTCTGATGCATTTTTCTACACATAGTAAACGCATGCAAGAAATTTGGAAAAATGCATGGAGCTGTAGCTTTAAACACACACACACACACACACACACACACACACACCCATACACACACAATTGTGCATAGGAAAAGATGCATACAATTACAGCAAGTAATAAATGATTACTCTAATCCACAATCAGATCATTATACAAATTCTAACCATAGCACGTACTCCACTTGAACAGGGAGGCTCCCATGTCAGAAGTTCCCTGCAGGAGAATGTAGTTATCTACTGCAGGGAAAATAAAACAAGCACAGGAACATAAATGAATCGAGCTGACCCTGATCACATCTATGGGCTGTAACGCAGTGCATCCCAGAAAACGCGGCCTGCACAAATCTTGCTACATTACTGCGCAGATCGTAAAAATCAATGAATGTAGCGTGTCTTAAAAAACATACTTACATGGACCATATCATAGGACACTTGCAGGCAGACTTTTTCATTTTTTTCAGGTCAGTATATAGACAACTTGTGTTAAAATGCGAGAAAAAAATGCATGAATGCATGTTATAAATCTTTAAACCAGCATATGTTTGACAACATTGTGTGAATCCAGCCTTATGAAGTGTTTTTCTATATGCTACTCTTTGTAAATCGTCCCATTTCTTATTTCTATCCGTTTCCTTCAATAGTAGCCAAGTCTGAGTTATGGCTGTATGTGGCCAAGAAATATAAAGGACATGGCTTCGTTATTCAAATGAATTGTGAAAACATGTATAGCTGTTTTTTTTTCTTTTTTTGCGGCTTTTATCTAGCATGCAGTGATTCTAGAAAATAGACATGTCTAATATTTCTTATGTATTGCAGCCTTTTAAAGAGCATACTGTACAAGTGAAGCACTGGCACCTTTTTTATAAGTGCACAGCTACACTGAATGAATGGACGTGCTTCTAAAGATTGAATATTCAGCTAAAACATTTGCCATGGTGCTGAGGTGGATCGTTTCATGCTCTCAGCTACACAACATAAGCAGAATAAAGTGCCACCGTGTATGTCATGTTTCTCAAACGAACAAATGGGTATAACATTAACTGGACAATCTGGGCTAACACTCATCATCCCAAAAATATACCCTATTCAGAAAACTGAGAACTATACGATCCACTTCTTTTCTCTAGTCTGTGTTTAAAGTATCCTGTTTAATCTCACCAACGGGTTTGGATCTTGCTTCTGGGGGCAGTAAACTTCTAGAGCTCACAGTCATTTTTATAGTAACTTCCACATTTATTTGAAAACCTAAGCCTTTAAATTCATGAGCAGTAAATCAAACTGCAGAGTAATAATATGTAACAGGGCATCTTTACTCTTCTCCCAAAGCAGAACATGTTCATTCCTAACACAACTATCACCTCCTACATTCAGTTTGGTGTGCAGGTAAACTAGGCACATGCCTATGGAAGTGTTGTACTGGGGGCAACAGCGCATTGTTTTGCTAAGCTGCATGATAGATACATAGATAGATAGATAGATAGATAGATAGATAGATAGATAGATAGATAGATAGATTCAGGAAATAATATATCAGATACACCTGCTTGTTAACACAAATACACTACCCAGTCAGATAAAGGAAGGATAGATAGATATAGATAGATAGATAGATAGATAGATAGATAGATAGATAGATAGATAGATAGATAGATTTAGAAGTTAATATATCAGGTATATCTGTTTGTTAACACAAATACCCAATCAGAAAAAGGAAGGATGGATAGATAGATAGATAGATAGATAGATAGATAGATAGATAGATAGATAGATAGAAAGATAGATAGATAGTGGGAGCATTTATAAACCTAGTGCAAGCCGAAAACTTTCACCTTAGTTTCTGTGTTGCTCAGGTTTTACTTTAGGGATAATTGGCTAACAATTGCCAAGGCTGCCATACCTGAAAATTGGCCCTTTCAGTTTAAGATCTTGTTCAGATGTACAGTATGTGGCTTCATATTCATATTTATTGGTTACATCACATTTCCTTGGAAGTAGAGAGGACTCAGCAGGCACGTTGGTACTTCTGCTGATGACTTAAACAGCTTTAACACACACACAAAAAGACAAACTCGCTTCTCCAGGTACCCCAGGACATAAACTTGTACAAGGATGTCTTCAAGTGGCATGGGAAAAAAGGCTGGCAGGGGATTTAAACAAGCTCAACAATAAGCAGCCTCTTATCTGTAATCCCCTGAGGTCATAGGAACCCACCAAAGCTTGCCAACAGGAGAACAGGGAACATATCAGGCACGATACCTCTAAGAACAAAAAGCAGCAATTGTCAAGCATCATGTGATTCTAGCACCAAAGCACCCTGCAATCTCAGGCATGAAAATTGTCACTTGTTTTCATCCTTCATCTTCAGGGAGCAATTCTGTCACTCAGATGAGAGCAGCTCTGCGATCTTTAATGCATAAAAAGCAGAGATCTGTAAAGTCGAACTGATTCTGCCCGATACCTAAAATTAATCCAATCCTTGCTTATAATTAAGAGAATCCTTTTAATTGCAAATTTCAACAGGGTATCATATACTTTCTAAAAACTTACAAAGCATGTCCCTGAAGAAGGGGTTAAGTTAAAGTAATAGTGTGCCTAGCCTGGGCACTATTAAGAAGATCAGAGCCCGGGAGAACAGGCTTTATAGTAATACACTGCGATCAACACCAGCTATCAATGACATGTAATACAATTAAGAACAATAAAGCATCAGTCGGGGCATCTGAGCCATTAAGCAAGTCCTGAAAGCGCATGTGATTTAATGCTTCCATCCGTCTCCCTTGGCATTTATAAGTTCTACAGGTCATATGAGCTGTATAAATGTCATGGTCATGTAATAAGGAGGACCATACATCACTTACCTCTGCAGAACAGCATAGCAAGCATGAGGCTGACCAGTGTGGCCAGGCTCTGGTAAGAGGTCCAGTTCCACAATCCTGAGCTGCCCATAGCTGCACACAGCATGCACGATCGTCACATGGAAGAAGAGAAGGCTCCCCAGCCACCGACCATGGGAGGTGCATAAAGAAACTGCTCCTAGTTCTGCACAAGGTCCAACTTGACAGGTGACACTATGACAGCTTGACTAGGGAGCTCCTATTAGCACAGGGTGCGCTGATCATCACCTCCTATTCCAGATCATCACCCCACAGCATGGATTGAGGGTCCCGACATCACTGGGGAAGCAGCTGGAGGACATGATGCTGACTCTGTGCCATAGAAGTACTTGCAGGCTATTAGTGAAGATCGGTGATCGTCTCCCAGGTAGTCCAGAGCTCAGAACTTTCTTTATTCCCCATCAGAACAGACTCCCACTTGGGCTGTGATCGCAGAGCTCAGCTGCACAGGGATGTAGGCTAGTGAAGTTGTTTTGCTCGGATGCTGGTGGCCCCCGCTGCACATCCCTCCCCTGTCTGGTCCTCATCTCTCCTTCCCAAACCCACCAACTCTCCCCATTTCATAGTAAAAAGAATACAAGGTGGGGCTTCAGAATAGACAGCCGGGGACACCAATAACAGGCTGCCTCTGCGGGGTGGGCGGGACCTTATGGCATACTTGTGGATGTGTTCATTCAAACAGCTCAATGACCACAGCTTAACTGGAGTAACCCTTTCATCGCAGTGCTAGGGGAAGGGGGGCAGATACACAGGATCACACTATTCTCTGTGGGAAGCTGGCAAAACAAGATTGCAAGGTTGTTATCAGAAAACAAAACAAAATATTGTATGCAATACATGAAAACACATGCACTGGATGTTTTGTCTGGGTTATTGTCAAAACATTTTATGTTTTATCCAAATATTAGGGATGCCTCGATTCCAAGGCATAATTCACTTAGGGCGGGTGCACACTTAGGCGATTTGTGACTGCACGGCAATCATGCACGATACCACACGGTTTGCAGCGCGGTCACAGAGACGCCAATCACAGATGATCGCGCTGTGAGTGCCATTATTTTCTAATGGCATCCCAGTCGCACCGGGGCGATTGGGTGGTTTCCCGCCGCTATTCCGCCACTGCATCCAAACAAGATCACGGCTAAAACAGCCAAGCGTCGTGTATCACCAAAATAAGGTACATGTACCTTATTTCTGCGATTGCTGTGCAGATGTACCCCATTGAAATCAATAGGGCCGCGTAGCAATCGCTGTCTGCAATTGTGCAGGATCGCGCAATCCCGGGACACACGATCCTGGATCGTTCAGGTCTGCACCGGGCCTCAAAGTGACACTAAAGTCAGTAGTTAAATCTTAAAAATGCATTCAAGTACCTCAACTATTAACAGAAATGTATCTTATAGTTGTGTATCAGTCAGCTGCAGATCCTCATGACCTATTTTTCGGCGGATTTAGTGCGATTTGGCCTAAAAGACCTAAATGGTGGAGCTCAATGTCGCACGAATTTGCACGACATTGCGCTACGTCACGCTACAGAAGTGTCACTTTTTCACAGAAATATAAGCAGGAGCATAAGCAGGAAACAGGAAGAAGAATTGTGTCATATCAAGACTGCTTTTGATTGGATACAGCCCAATGTAGCAGCTACGAAGTCCATGCCAAAAGTAGCGCTGCGTAGTGCGACAATATGTGCACTGTAACTCAATGTTGCTAAATGTCTCTCAAAGTCGCTCAGCCCAAATCAGCGCTGAAAAAGCTCTGATGTAGCTCAGTGTGAATGGGGTCCAAATCATCTCTGAATTGGTACTGACACTGTCCTTCCTCCTGGAGGGTGGCTACTTTTGTTCCCCATGGTCCCAGTGTGTGTTGTAAAGTGGCCACCACTCCAAGCTCACTCCTGTGATGGACTACAATCTCAATACAATTTAGTAAACTAAAGGTGAGATTGTAGTCCATTACAGGAGTGAGCTTGGAGCGGTGACTACTTTACAACACACACAGAGACCATGTGGAACAAAAGTAGTAGAAGGAAGGACAGTGTCGGCATGAATTCAGAGATCATTTGAGGATCTACAGCCGAGTGATACACAAATCATTGACAGTTTTGTTACTAGTTAAGGTATTTGGATGCATTTTTAAGATTTAACTCCTGAGTTTAGTGTAACTTTAAAGAGGTCCTGACTGATGTTGCACTGCTACTGAGAGTATCAGGAAAGAATTAGAGTGGCCATAACAGCAAGTGATGGGACAGTTCTGACATCCATTTTGATAGCTGGGCTGTAGAGGTGCAGTAATCCGTGCTTTCCATTGTCTGGAGACAATGATGGAAATGTTCTCTGTGACAAGTAACCAATTATTGTAAGAGAAAAGGCAACAAAGCTTTAAAGAAGAACTCTGGGCAAAACGTTTATCAACCCTTGCCGTGTGGCTACCCCCACACTCCAAGGGTTAACTGCTTGTTTTTGTCTAGGTGCTAAAACAAAGTTATACTCATCCGAAGCTCTGAGCTAGCTTGTTCTTAGATCGGTCCTTCTAGCCTCCTTCCCCCTCCACTGCAGCAGTCTAAGGACCCGTAAATCTACAAGGAGGGGCAAGTGATACAGAAGGTAATACCTGTGAGGGATGAGTTGATTGAAGGAGAAGATGTACAGTTTTTAGGAGGAGGTGGGATAGGCTTCCCCTTAGAGACGGGTTTTTAAAGATCACCTAAAGGCAGACAGTATAGGAAATAGCTGAATAGGTTGTGCTAGGGAGTTCCAGATGATGGGAATAGATTCTAGAGAAGTCCTGGCGAGCATGGGAGGAGGCGTTGAGGTAGCAAGACAGCAGGAGGTCTTGGGAGGAGCAGAGAGGACGGTTTGGGTGATATCTTCAGATGAGGTTTGGAGATGTAGAGTTGTGCCTGCCCCCCCACTTACCTGAATTGTAGGGTACTTCTCCCTCAAGTGTATATTTTAATGTGGTGCAGCTGTGCGGGCTATTTGTTTACAGATCCATTCACAGGATTTATGAATGAAAGGACTACAAGTCCCGTCTGCCTTTGCATAGATCCTACTGTAGCACCAGGTGAGGGATGTTACCACACTTGTAATTGACTACTTCTTCCAGCCCCGTAGCCAAATGTCCATACCTTGCAGACCTGGGACTGGGGGAATAGTCTGCAGGAATCTGAGCATTGCATCTGTGATTCACTGCTTTCAGTTTCATTGCTTTGCAGGCTCAAATGCAAACAAATCAATGTATGCACATGTTTTCTTTAATCAATATGTGCATTTTGTTTTTATAAACTGGACTATATATATTTAAAGTAAATCTGTACTGAGGGAAATACGGGGCTGCCATGGCTGACCTTCTTTTAAGAATACTAGTTGCCTGAATGTCTTTTGCTTCAGTAGTTTCTGAGTTGCTGACCAGAAATAACACATGCAGATTAAAAAGTCAGACTGAAATCGGAGTCCCTGATCTAGCTGTTTGTTCCAGCTCAGCGACTCTGAAAAAATGAAAGCGAAGAGGTCAGCATGTGAGCCAGGCAACTAGCATTTTCATAAGGAGAGGTCATCAACGGCAGCCTCCGTATTTTCTCTGTGCAGGTTTCCTTTAACAGAGTGAACGTCATTAAGATTTGGCATGTGAATTGGGAAGATGAACGCGGCAGGTCCATTCGGCTCACAGAACTCATTTGAGCGCAGGCGGATATCTCAGTGCCTGTTGTTCTCAGTGAGACATTTACTAAATATATTCATCCTGATATCTGTTAATGTTCCAAAATCACATTGTACGACTGCTATTCTTCTAGACAGAGATAGACTTTTTATTTTTTTGCGTTACAATAATCCCTCACCTGCCAGTTAGGCAGAAATGCTTTGCAGCACTTTATTACCTGCATCAGTTTTGCTCAGGGAATCTCATCTATTGTAAACTGTGCTTGCATTATTTAGTATTCAGAGGGTTGTCTTTGTTATCATAGTTAGTAAAAGGGAATCTGTCAGAAAAAGCAAAACATCTCACAAGTCTGTGATGAAAGCAGCCTATCCCAGCTCACAGACGGCATAGTTCATAGGCACTGACTTCACATTGTACAGGTTACAATGCACTTTGCAATGCAGGCAGAATGTGGAGCAATGCAGAGAACTAAGCCACATTCCCAAAGGCATGAAACAAATCGCAATGTGCAGCATTTTATGTTTATGGATCAAAATGCAGGTGTATCAATGGGAACATGCACACAGGTGCATAAACATGTGCGGCATCCAGATCTCTAACACAAAATCAAAATATCTGAATTTGAGCACATACATTTTACCCATGTATGTGCATGCGTACGTATGTAAATGAAGTGCAAACAATTGAAAACAGAGTACGAGGAATGGAACAAGTATTTTACACATACACTATATTACCAAAAGTATTGGGACACCTGTCTTTAGACGCACATGAACTTTAATGGCATGCCAGTCTTAGTCCGTAGGGTTCAATATTGAGTTGGCCCGCCCTTTACAGCTATAACAGCTTCAACTCTTCTGGGAAGGCGTCCACAAGGTTTAGGAGTGTGTCTATGGGAATGTTTGACCATTCTTCCAGAAGCGTATTTGTGAGGTCATATACTGATGTTGGATGAGAAGGCCTGGATCATAGTCTCCACTCTAATTCATCCCAAAGATGTTCTATCGGGTTGAGGTCAGGACTCTGTGCAGTCAAGTCAAGTTCCTCCACCCCAAACTCGCTCATCCATGTCTTTATGGACCTTGCTTTGCGCACTGGTGCGCAGTCATGTTGAAATATGAAGGGGCCATCCCCAAACTGTTCCCACAAAGTTGGGAGCATGAAATTGTCCAAAATGTCTTGGTATGCTGATGCCTTAAGAGTTCCCTTCACTGGAACTAAGGGGCCAAGCCCAACCCCTGAAAATCAACCCACACCATAATCCCCCCTCCACCAAACTTTACACTTGGCACAATGCAGTCATGCAAGTACCGTTCTCCCAGCAACCGCCAAACCCAGACACGTCCATCGGATTGCCAGACAGAGAATCGTGATTCATCACTCCAGAAAACATGTCTCCATTTCTTTAGAGTCCAGTGGCGGCGTGCTTTACACCA